CGGACAAGGAAGCAAAGGATAACTATAGATGAACATGGACACACTTTTATCTGTTAAGACAATTCATTTAATTCCTGAAAAAGTTAAACCTTAATAAGTTGATAATGATGTAATGCAACGCATTGATTAAACTCCCATACAAAGAGGAGACATGTATACAAACTCGAACTCTGAGAGAAAGGTAAATATATGTTACTATTGCATGTCTTGTGCAATTCGTTTAACATGCAAAAAAGCTAATGAAGAATACTGCAGGAAGTCTAGTTATACAACAAGGAGACAGATTCTAATGTTGCAGCAGTTAGAGAGCAAAAGCAGACAGACAGTATAGCTAATGAAGGAAGTAAGCCTCATTCTATCAGAGGCCAAAGCCCAAGGAAAATTAATAGAAAAAAGTATCACTAATTAATATAAAAGGAGTGCCTATCCAGGTAATCCTAATATCAGTGCATCCAACACTATTTCGCTAATCAATCACTTTCATGTTCTTGACTTCTAAGAGCTGAAATGGAAGAAATCTACTACAAACCTCATCCCTTGATCATGTTGAAATTGACATTGTACAGTATGTTGCATCATTCTTTTTCTTTTTTTTATGATAGATATTTTCTCTGGGGCCAACCACATTCTTTGAAATTCAGGGATAACGGGTCCACCCTCTACCCTTCTACAGTACACATATGACTGGCTTTTCGGTCATGCAGAAAACTGTATATTAACTGTCTTAGGTTTAGTTCCTCTGGTTGGTTAGAACAAACAAACATCTTCAAGCAGCAAAATCCAAATTCCCATCCTTGATCTCAACTGAATCACCATCCAAAATTTATATCTTATACATCAGTAATTGCATAAGTGAATGAACCTGACTCAACAATTTGGTTTTTTCCTTTAAAATGTGGAACTATGAATTAATAGCATGTCCATGTGATACAAACAAGTATGGTCGAAGTGTCCTAGTACAACAACCTTCGGGTGTGTGGTCTTATGAAATAATAGTCTCCACATTCAAAATCTATAACCACCCTTGAGTCAAAAAGTGGGCTATTCGATGAATTGTGTTTCCTCTACCAAGTACCTCTAATATTTCTTTCATAGATATTGACTAAAGTAGCATAATCTCCCTAACAGTAAATAATATTCGAAAGTGTATCACATATCATTCATATTCAAAAAAGCTAATACCTACTGAAATATTTTATAAAATAAAGAACATAGTCAGTCACACAACTGTTGATATCCAAGAAGATGCAAGAACAGACACTAGTCTGATTAGAAATCTGGCAAACTATCATAGTCTGTCAAAAGTATGAAATTATAAACGCTTTTCCAACTATTGCCCATGATTTCCTATTGCTATGTATGTTAAAATTGCTTCCACGTTACAATTTTGATTGCCAACAACAAGAAGTCGTTGTGTTTCAGAAATATCCCCACTCATAAGTCTGAGATACATCTATGAATTGAAAGGTCTGAATGATCAACTCTGCAATCAGTTGTTAGAATGGATAGGTATTCAAATTGTTCATCTGAAAAAATTAGAACACTTCTTATTGGATGATCAGGAGATTCAAGCATTTCAGATCCTCAACATGATTGAAACTATTTTAGCACAATACGGTCACATCATTTCTGATCCTTAACAGTGTTATATTTGGACCCATTCGCGAATATGAATGGAACCAAGGGAGGGCAGAGTCTAGATAAATAAGAATCTAATTCTAACCATGGAAGCAAGTAACTCACTATCATTTAGGCTTTCATCATCTTGTTCTTGTGCACATTTTGCCCTAAAAGAAAAATAGAACAAGAAGATCTAGCTTTCTGATAGAAGCATGTAAAAGACATTCCAGAAGCAAAATTGCAACCAAACCCATCCCAACCCCATAAAAACACAAATTCCCATGCGTATCAACATCAATAAATAACCCTAAATGCCTCAATCCCAAACTAGATGTGTCTAAATCTTCTGTATCCATTAAAGTCTCATAACATCAACGACTACGCCTCAACCCCTCAATCCAATGAATCCTCTACATCCGTTTGATTCCAAGTCCTCAACCCATCGTTCCCTGGCCGCATCCATCCTCCTTTACCCATGTATCATTCATGTTCACATATCGATAATTCTATTCAACACTAATCACGAACACTAAAATTTACATGGCTTTATAATCAACACACCGCCCAAATTCATCGCCGTCAAAAATCAAACAAAAATTACATAAAACCAATTCCAATTCCCCAAACAGACATCAAAAGAACAAAAACTAAAGCAAAAAAACTGGAAAAAATAACCAATGAATCAACTACGGAAGATCGGTAAAGGAATACCTGTTAACGGAAGGAGGAGGGGACGGATCGATGGAGGAATCGTTGTCGCGATGAAGAATTCTGAGAATTTTAGAGAGAGAAAGTGAGATTGGGGACTGAATATAGAGAGAGAAAGAGAGAGAGATAGGTAATGCGAGGCTGAAATGAAACTGAATCGACGAAATTAGGGTTTCCCTACAGATGGAATTTCACAATTCATTATTTTTTTCTTCTTATATATACTGAAGTCTTTAAATATTACTAGCTTTTTATTTTTATATTATGTGCTATTTATTTTTCCTTGAAATAAAATAAAATCAAAATATGTGAAATGTATAACATTTGGATAAGAGTTTATTCAAGTATTAATTGATTGTTGTTGTTTATTTGAACTTTGATGGATATAACTTTTCAATTTTATTAAAAATAAAAAATAGTAATTGACTTTTTTGGTTGTGAAAGACTACACATTTTATTATTTTAAAAATAAAAAAAGATTAATTGACTTGTTTTTGGTTGTGAAAGATTACACATTTTATTAAAAATAAAAAATATTAATTGACTTTTTTTGTTGTGAAAAATAATACTTTTTATTACGTTAAAAAAATTAGCATTGGGTCACATTGACCATAGAATACATTGTTGTTGTGATCTATTACTAGGCTCTGAAGCCAAGTTAACTAGGTCAAGATGGTACAAAAATAAGCTATCATTTTTAATTAGTGTTAGATTACAGAATGTGGATCTCCAAGAATAATTAACGTTAACACATTTTGTTTGTGGCATTGTGGGCGCTCCATAATTGTTTGGACTTGAAGTAGTGAGTTGATAATGTAGAGGTTCTTCATTATTGCGAAGCAACAATGATCAAAATATCAATTGATTGTTCAAGCTATGTGTACAAAAAATTGATATTAAAAAAGATAAAAAAATTTACGTTATTTTTCCTCATGATTAACTAAATAATATTATTATTCTATGAAATAATTGTGCGATATTAATTATTTTCATTGCTTATAACAATTAAAAGTCCGTTAAATTCATATAAGCTCACATTTCTATCAATTGAAGCTTGATAAGCAAACATTATCAATTATTAAAATATTACAATCGCGATTATTTTTATGTACGATTTATACAATTATTATGTACTTGCGTGCATCAAATTAAACGTCAGAATTCAATAATATTTATTAGTATTAGTACATACCTGAATATACAATTTCAATATTATTTTATTTTTTTGGTTTATTCGAGTGAAGACCCAATTGGGAGCACGTTCTAGAGGCTTGTGGAATCATTTTTTGTAATTTAAAGACTTGTTAAAAAAATATTTGTCACCTAATTACTAATTAGTCATGTTCATGTTTGACTTTGACCTAATCAAAACATGGCTAGCTTATTCATTTTGTCATATGATTAAATTTTCTTTGGCAAACTTTTTCTTAAAAGAAAAGAAAAATATTAGTATATTTTAGTTAGAATCAACATATCTTTTAAAGGTAATGTTTTTATGTTAAAATATTATCTTATAATGAAATTATAGTGAGTTATTTATAAAAAAACATTGTCAAAGTAGTTTTACTTCCTAATGATCTAGATAGGTGTTCCATCTATACTTATAAAATCAAGACATAATATATGGTTAACTATCATCAAATTGTTTTAAAAGAAAATTTAGCAACGTATTATAAAGGTAAATTTCATAAATATATAATAAAGTAGTTATTTTGCATCTTAATTCTTACATTAAAAAATAGCCAAAAATTAGCGACAGCCGACATGTGTATATGCAACAAAATTATTTTCAACAAAATGATCATATGTATATGTGAAGTATCAATATTGCACAAACAGTATATATATATATAGAGAACGTATAACTATATATTAGAGATGTATATAAATCTATATACATTATTGATACAATAAAAATATACATTGCATACCATTTATTTTTCAATCCTAACAAACTCAAATCTCCTCTAAACAATCCTCAAATTCAGATATGAGTTCCTCTTAATGTTTCAAATCTATTGATATATTAGTCACTCAAAAGAATTTTCTATGAAACATATTTTAATATATTATTCACTCGAAATAAATAAAGAAAGAAAAAGAAGGAAGAGAAACATGGAAGGCGAAGCAGAAAACAAACAGGTAAATAAAGCTATATGGCTTTATATATATATAGTAATAAAACAACTCAGATACATTGTTATCCCCTCTCGGATATCTCTCTCTCATCACATAATGTATCATTTGCAATGTATTAGACAACCAAGAAATGTATCCGAAAGCAATAAAAAATTTGAGATTTTTATAATTAAAAAAATGTCTGAAATAAAATCTAATTATCCCCAACTGTATGGAATTTCTGTACTTTATGCTAACAATAAATTCATAAGGACCATGCTATCAATATTGTATCAAGGGATGCAGAAAGTCCAATTTTTGTGGGGAATAAATAGCTGTTGTTTTATACTGGACAGAGTAGACGTGTCATCAACTATTTTCTAGTAACCATATTGAAGCTAGACAAAAATTCAGATAAAACAATCAAAGGAAATTAAAGGAATACACTTACTACTCTTATTTATCACCAACATAAGAGTAACTTCATGGGTAAGCAATATGTGGCGGAATTAGAATTTTCAAATAAAAGATAGTAATATTTCAAAGATGCACACTAACGGAGATCTTGTCGATCACTTGCTTTGTGGGGGTAACAACACATAGATAGCAGAAACATGCCTTTTTCAGGGTTTACTAATTCCACTTTGTGGGGCTAAACTGAGTATATCGTTGTCATCGTTGTATTATTATACAGTAATAATAATCCCACTTTGTGTTACAATGATGATTTGAAGCCCTTTAAATATGCATTTTGTAACTCTTTCTTCTTTTAGTCTTTTCATATACATATACATGTTTTTTTAGAGTATTTGTTTCATCAACAATACAAAGACAACCTTCAGCACATTCAAAGAAAATGTTGCCTACTTCTGCTTCTTCAGTCTTGGAGACAACACATGACCACCCTTCACCACAATTGCATATAACTTTGTCTTTGGAGGACACTTCTATAGCTTTTTGTGAATGTGAAAGCTCTTTCACAGCTTCACCCCTTCATAAGAAAAAACCAAAAGTTCAGTAACCATACATGAAATTAACCCTCAAACACACAATCAAAGTCATATGAGAGGATTTGAACTTGATGAGTTTGATCTTTAATGTTACGGATTCAAGAATCTAATATTTTGAACAATAATATATGAAGATTCAATAAATTTCATACCAAGACTTATTTTTGAGTCTCATAAGATTATAAGTCCAAGCACCAAAAATGGCCCCCAAAGTTGGCCCAATAATGTAAATCCATAACCCTTTGTAATGACCTGTAACAATTGCTGGTCCCAAACTTCTTGCTGGGTTCATTGATGCCCCTGTTAGTGGTCTGTATTTCAACAAAATCATATGTTTTACCGCATCGACTCAAGTGAAGCAAATCAAAGTAGAAATGAAAAGAAAAGATGATATTGAAGAAAAATATAACAACTAACATCAAATGAGAGCAAAGCATAATATATATCTATGCAAGAAACTGTAACATCAATAACAAAATTGTAATCATCTAAACATAATAAACAACAGATGATCACAGATACCAAAAGCCAAAGACTAAATGACTAATTTAGATATGATATGGTACTATAAATAGTCATATACAATATACTTTCAACATGATGGGACCAAAATAATAGCTTGAAATGAAAAGAGAAGTACCCAGAGAACAATATATCAAGTGAAACAGTGGCTCCAATTGCAACACCAGATAAATGTTTCATCTGCATCAAATTCCAAATAATAACATACACTTAATTTAACACAGTATACGTTAAATTATATTGATAGTGTAAAAAAAAAAAAAAAAACTTTGATCGCGAAATGAAACTAACAGCTCGATCATCAGTAGCAACACCAGCAATGACAAACATTAGGTAAAATGTGGCAATAAACTCAAGTATCAAAGCTTGTAAATTTGTTCCTGCTGGAACTGTTCCTACAAATTGATCTTCTTTGCCATTAAATATTAGTCGAAGGGATCCACTCGCGAGAATGGATCCCACGACTTGTACCAAAATATAAGCTGGAACCTACACAATAATATAATTCAATATCATCATCAACAACAACAATAATATTAAACGATATGATGATATTAATACGTTTGTTCTGTTTTACCTGAATCCATGGAAACATTTTGCTTGTGGCAAATGCAATTGTTACAGCAGGGTTAAAATGTGCACCGGAGACATGTCCAACAGAGTAAATTAAAACCATGACAACAAGTCCCCAAACAGACGCGATTCCAGGTAGTGTGACAACGTTGTTCTTGTTTATATTCAAAATTATAGCAGCACAACCAGCAAATATCAACATGTAGGTTCCCACGAACTCTGCTATCAACTACAAGAACAATGTTTTTCGCGTTTAAATGATATGATTATACAATTCAACATAATAGATGATCAGACAATGGTTCATGGATCCAAAATCTTGAATAATTCCATTTTGATTCGAGCAAACTTTGAAAGGTTCAAACATGACCATTTATTGATCAAATTACTCGAAATTGACTCAACCTGCTCATCTGACACTCTAGAGGTAACTTCAAAATCAAGACTCAAATTCAATCATTAAGATCAATTTTGTGAAGTGAGAGTACCTTTTGCACGAAATGTACGCTCATAAAGCATTTTAAGTGTTTTTGAGGAGTAGCAGAAGTAGTAATAGCGGATGGTAATGGTGATGGACAATCATTGATCCTTAACGAAGTTGATCGAATTCCTTCAATTTCTGGTATTTCCTCCATAGTAACTTGTGATTTGATTAATTATTGGCTCCAATAAGCAATAAAATGGATGAACAAGAACTAATTAAGCATGTCTCAATCCTTTATGAGTCCCTTTGTTGACTTTTTCAGGTACTTGTATAGTTGTATAATTGAAATTGACAAAACTTTATTTATTTATTTATTGTGTGGAGGGGGTGGATTGATTGATTATAATTTATAGGAAATTACGTAGTTTATCAATTAATATATTTTAAAATTGAATATTGTCAACTTATTACGCACGTATTAATGGAAATTGAAAGCTCTCAATACAAAATGTTATTGCACTTACTATATATGTAATAGTTAATTGAACAAGTTGTAAGTAATTTATAATTAATTGAACAAGTAGTAAGTAGTGAAGCTTACCCGCAACCGAAACAGGGAATTGCTTCCGCAGAAAGGCAAGAAAATGCGCTCGAGCATAAGGACTCACAACACACCTAATCATGTCTGGCGCGAGCCATAAGAGTATAAATCCGTGAGGCACTCTCTATCTCTGCCTTTTCCTTGGGACACATGCTTAGGAACTTGTTGGCTATTGAAAGCCATCCTAAACTTTTTTTAACAGAAATTGATTTAACACCAATAATATTCAAGCAAATAATATATAATTGAGCTTCTGAGCCAATACTCATAAACAATCGACATGTAAATGTCAAACACACATATGATAAAAGATCAAAGTCAACCAACATACAAAATAATTGAATAGGAAGGAGGGGCGGAGCTACGATTCCATCTATAAATTCAACGAAACTTAATAATTTTATTTATAATATCAGGTTTTTTCCTCCAAAATGAAATGATTATATTTATCAATATTTTAAAATTAGAATTTATATTTAAAAATTATATAAAATATTTTTTTCAAAAATATAAATTGGACTGGCCCGGCGTGATCCGTACCCCACGTAGTGATGGATGAGTTTGATGTTTTCCAGCCCATCAAAATAATGGGTCAGTCTACTGTAACCCATCAAACTCCAAAGTCTGTATATGCAAACTTGGATGGATTTGGCTGATCTATATTGACAGCTCTTGAGAGATAAATATAAATTACTAAATAGTACTGTAATGATTCAGTATATCTACAAATCGATAACCAACAAATCAAATTGATATACTTGAAAATCAAATCGAATCGATAAATACTCATCCCTATCACAAAGTAAGCATATTTCATATTATCAGCCTAAAATTTAAACATTGTGCATTTGCAAAGCTTATTTCAATTTACTATAAATTTATATGTAAACAACTGTACTTTTCGTCCAAATATATGAAAACCACAGTTCATTTTACAATATTCAAATATAGTACAGTTTCATTAGTATAAAGACTAAAAATAATAATACATTTGATACACTTTCTTAACACAGAAGTTCGTATAACATACCTAAAGGGAGTATTATTTCATGTGAGAAAGAATGTATAGGTGCGTATTAGCAATAACGTTATTAAATTGTTTAACGATAAAATTATCCTTTAATTCATTTACGGTTAATCAATGCATGACAACTCCATCAATATTTATCATCACATAAACACACATTTATTAATCTTACAAACTTTAAATTATTCAAATACACTTACAACAAGACATTTAAATACTGTCAGATACATAGATCTGACTTTATTTTTCACAAACATAACAGTAATTGCATGCCAAACAACTGGCTTTATTTCACACAAGCATAATAGTAACTTTATACCAAACAACTGGCTTTACTTCACACCAGCATAAGAGTAGTTTTATTTCATTTTGTGGCATAAACAATTTGCTTGAATTCCTGAACTTCCTTGAAATTCTCCCATTCCTTCACCCAAATCTTGGTCTTGTATATTTTCTTATATCCATCATCAGTTGCAACAAGTGTTATATAGTACATCATTCCAGCAACAACTTGTTCTTTCACATTCAAAACTTCTACAAACTCCAAATGAGCATTCTGAAAAATAGAGTATACGACATTCGTTCAAATGAAAGAATTATTAGATACTGCAGTAAATTCAAGATTTAAATATTATAGGTTTGAATGTGAAACTAACATAAAAATAATAGAGGAATAAATCATTTGAATTGACCTCTTTCTTATTATAATCTTGAACAGCAAAACGAGCAAGATCTTGGATTTCAAAGCTGATTGGGAATGGAACAATGATAATGCCCCCAAGCTTTGCACTATCATCACCAACAAGCTTGAACTCTACAACTTTCTTGAAGTCCTCCCATTCTTTCACCCAAATCTTAGCTTCATATATTTTCTTCTTTCCAGCATCAGTTGCCGCAAGTGTTATATAGTACATCATTCCCGCAACAACTTGTTCCTTCACATTCAAAACTTCTACAAACTCCAAATGAGCCTTCTGAAAAATAGATTGTATATGACGTTCATTCAAATGAAAGAGTTATTAGATACTGCAGTAGATTCAGGATTTGAATATTATAAGTTTGAATGTAAAATTAAAAAAAAAATTAATAATGAGTAAGTTATTATAATTAACCTCTTTCTTATTATGATCCTGAACAGCAAAACGAGCAAGATCTTGGAACACAAGGCTGTTTATGCCTTGAACATTGATAATGCCCCCGAGTATTGGGACATCATCACCAATAAAAAGCTTGAATTCTATGACTTTCTTGAAGTTCTCCCATTCCTTAACCCAAATTTTAGCTTCATATATTTTCTCCTTTCCAGCATCATCAGTTGCCACAAGTGTTATATAGTACATCATTCCAGCAACAACTTGTTCCTTAACATTCAAATTTTCTACAAACTCCAAATGAGCTTTCTGAAAAATGTATATGACGTTCGTTCAAACGAAAGAATTATTAGTTACTATAGTAGTTTTAGAATTTGAATATTACAGATTTGAATGTGAAACTAATGAAAAAATTAAAAAGGAGTAAGTCATTTTAATTAACCTCTTTCTTATTATAATCTTGAACAGCAAAACGAGCAAGATCTTGGAATTCGGGGCTGTTTGGGAATGGAACATTGATAATTCCCCCAGGCTTTGCACTATCATCACCAACAAGCTTGAATTCAACAACTTTCTTGAAGTTCTCCCATACCTTAACCCAAATCTTAGTTTCATATATTTTTTTCTTTCCACCATCTGTTGCCGCAAATGTTATGTAGTACAACATTCCAGCAACAACTTGTTTTTTCACATTCAAATTTTCTACAAACTCCAGATGAGCATTCTGAAAAAATTGATTGTATATGACGCTCGTTCAAATGAAAGAATTATATACTAGATACAGTAGTGGATTATGAATTTGTATATTATAGGGTTGAATGTGAAATTAACTAGAAAAAAAAATAGAAGATGAGTAAGTCATTATAAATAACCTGGTCCTTATTATATTGGTGAACAGCAAAACGTGTAAGATCTTGAAACTCGGGGCTGTTTGGGAATGGAACTTCGGTAAAGCCCCCAAGTTTTTTCTCACTATCATTACCAACAAGCTTGAAGTCTATAACTTTCTTGAAGTCCTCCCATTCCTTCACCCAAATCTTGGCTTCATATTCTTTCTTATTCCCGGCATCAGTTGCCGCAAGTGTTATATAGTACATCATTAAGAAACTAAAAGTAAGTCATTATATATAATTGACCTGTGTATTGTTATAATCCTGAACAGCAAAACGAGCAAGATCTTGGAACTAACTTGGTGTTGTTTGGGTTTGGAACATTGACAATGCCCCCAGGCATTGTACTATCATCACCAACAAGCTTGAATTCTACAACTTTCTTGAAGTCCTCCCATTCTTTCACCCAAATCTTAGTTTCATATATTTTCTTCTTTCCAGCATCAATTGCCGCAAGTGTTATATAGTACATCATTCCAGCAACAACTTGTTGTTTAACGTTCAAATTTTCTACAAACTCCAAATGAACATTCTGAAAAATAGATTGTATATGACGTTCATTCAAATGAAAGAATTATTAGAAACTGTAGCGGATTCAGAATTTGAATATTATATGTTTGAAGGTGAAACTAGCGAAAAATAAAAGAGGAGTAAGCCATTTGAATTAACCTCTTTCTTATTATAAACTTGAATAGCAAAACGAGCAAGATCTTGGAACTCGGGGTTATTTGGGAATGGAACATCAGTAATGCCCCCAAGTTTTGCAATATCATCACCAACAAGCTTGAATTCTACAACTTTCTTGAAGTCCTCCCATTCTTTCACCCAAATCTTAGCTTCATATATTTTCTTCTTTCCAGCATCAATTGCCGCAAGTGTTATATAGTACATTATTCCAGCAACTATTTGTTGCTTCACGTTCAAAACCTTTTTGTATATTTTCTTCTTTCCAGCATCATCAGTTGCCGCAAGTGTTATATAGTACATGATTCCAGCAACAACTTGCTCTTTAACATTCAAATTTTCTACAAACTCCAAATGAGCATTCTGGAAAATAGATTGTATATGATGTTGGTACTACTATAGTGAAATAGGGATTTAAATATGAAATTAACGAAAAAATAAAAGAGGAGTAAGTAATTATAATTAACCTGTTTTTTATTATAATCCTGAATAGCAAAACGAGCAAGTTCTTGAAACTTGGTGTTGTTTGGGTTTGGAACATTGACAATGCCCCCAGGCATTGTACTATCATCACCAACAAGCTTGAATCCTACAACTTTCTTCAAGTCCTCCCATTTCCTCAGCAAAATCTTGGCTTCATATTCTTTCTTGTTTCCACCTTCAGTTGCCTCAAATGTTATATAGTACATTATTCCAGCAACTATTTGTTGCTTCACGTTCAAAACCTTTTTAAACTCCAAACTAGAATCCTGAAATACAAAATATATGTTGTTGAAATGAAACAAATATGAATAGTCATCTGAATCAACTAATTATTCACAAAGTAATTAAGCATTTCAAAATTAATTATATATTCTTCGAAGAGTCATCTGCTTATTTGTAACATTAATGCATTTTAAATGTTGTGCACGGATGATGTGTAGATATTTTACACTATCAATTATGTTAACTAAGACATGTAACTTTTCATAACAAAGCTAAGATGTAATCGAAGTAAATGAAAAATAATTCTTTACATTTTTCTGATTGTAATCTTGGACAGCAAAACGAGCAAGATCATCAAACTCGACTTTGTTTTCGAATGGAACATCGACAAGGCCTCCTACGATTGCCATCACTGCGAATAATTAATAACTTAATTAAGAAGAAGGAATATTTTTGTGATGAGAAGAAGGTGAACATAGCTGCTTTTTATAGAGAAAAAAAGGCTAGCACGTTATAAATATTTTGATTTGATGGATTTGGATTTTAGCTTCCAAATAACCAAAAAAGTTTTAAAAAAATAAAATAAAAAGACTCATTTTATAATTGTCCAATATTCATATCAAATGATTCACCTTCCTCGAGTCCCCTCATATGTAATGCATTAAATGGTAAATATTCCCCACTAAGTGGTCCTAATTTATATAATACTTTTAGCTTTTTGAGGTTTATTTGACGGTAATTATTTTCCTCTTTTTTAAATTACTAACTATAGGTTGAAAATCGAAGCTAAAGGTTGAAACTTTGAAGCACAACTTGAAACCACCATTAAAGTTAGTTTATCAGCTTGAGTTCTAATTTTGACTAACCACGAACGAGCTCCGTTTTGAATGGGTAATATGTCAAAAGAATCGAAATGTTGAGAGGAGCTTATATCTAAAATTTGAGGCAATTTGGAGAAGATTTTGGGTGGTTTTGTATCAAATTTTTGTAGCAATTATACAAAGAAGATGAAGAACATGAACTATATTTTTTCAGATTTGCAAGAAAATTACAATATACCCTTAAATCTTCGAAATCATCTGAGATCAGTTGCAACAGTAACTTTTCACAATAAGTAACTTAAATCACACCAAACTTTTTAATATTGAGTGTCTGCGATTTTTTTTTTTTTTAAAAAAAGAACTTTTACATTCCTTATCGTGTAGCTGGATACAAGATTTTTTACAAATTTTTGTGCTTTCTGTTATATTTCTTTGAGTAAGAGTAGTTAATTCTCAAAAGAGAAAATATGTATATAGAAAGTGACGAAGATTGTAACGATGGTGTAAAATCCTTGGAGGAAATGAAAAAATTGATGAGTTTGAAAATAGTCAATTATAGTTACTAGTGGATAATAATTTTGATTTTGAAGATTTTCTACCTGTAACATCAATTTCAAAACATACAAACTCACTTCGATATTCAAGTCGAAATAATGTTTGATTCTTATTTAATGTGAAACATGAATTTGTATACATTGATGCAAGACTCTATAATAGTCTAATGTATACGTCTTCAAATCGAATGTATACTCAATAGCTATTATGTATACACAGTTGATAGTATGTGTACAAATTTGATTTTATGTATTAAAATATTACAGTAAATATATCTATACATATCAATAGCTGCAAAATATGCTAATATATACTAATAATGTATAAAAACAAAATATAAGTAATGTATATATTATAGTACGAATATATACTTAATTTAATGTATACTTAATCGCATATATTCAAATGAATACATGCTTATTTGCAATAGACTTTAAAGTTCAACACATATTAAATGTATATATATGCATATATTGGGCGTCTAATACTAAGTTTACTAAGCAAAAATATATCATAATCTACAATAATATAATGTATAATACACGTCTACATACATTGATAATTAGTACACAGTAATTAAGGATTAAAAGTATTTTTTTCATGCCTTAAAAGTAATTGCAACTTTTTTAATGAATTAATTAAGGGAAAAAAATTATTCATTTTAAAGTGGTTCTAGCCTTTTTTTAATGGGTTAATTAAGAAATCAAATCGATAGATATTTATTTTGATTTGATGGATTTGGATTTTAGCTTAAAATAAAATAACCAAAAACGTTTAAAATAAAATACAATAAAAAGACTCAATTTTTATAATTATCCAATATTCATATCAAGTGATCCACCTTCCTCGAGTCCCCTCATATGTAATGCATTAAATGGTAAATATTCCCCACTAAGTGGTCCTAATTTATATAATACTTTTAGCTTTCCGAGATTTATTTGACGGTAATTATTTTCCTGTTTCTTAAATCACTAACCATAGTAACTTATAGAGTAGTATTTCTTACATAGTTTTAAAATATTAAAAATTTCTTATTTAAATACATGTCAAAATTAAAAAGTTTGAATCTCGAAAAAAAATATCATGTAAATTAAAACAAAAAAAGATATGTTATTAAAGTTTTTTTTTTCTTTCTAATTTTTGCTCTCTATTTTCTAGATACGTGAAAAAATTATTATTTTATTATTCCTTTCTTCTCTCTCCTTATCATTTGTCAAATTGTGTTTGGCATCATCCAAAGAAGTTGCATGAAAATAAGGCACAACTGAACGTTCTTTTATACTCTCTCCGTATCATATTAGTTGATAAATCGATATCCCATATTAGTTGTCCGTCTTATTAAATCAAGTTAACATTAAATAAACTTTTCCTTTATTACCTTGCGATAAAATGGTCAAATGCCCTCTTAAGCTATGACCGGATTCTCAACTACACACTTATTCTTCACGGGGGTCCTATCACCCCACTAAACTGTTTAGAATTGAAATGTTTACCCCCTTAAAAATTCACAACCACATTTATATTAGGGAAAATGCATAAGTACCCCCTCAGCTTATGCCCGACATCCCAGAGACACATCTAAACTATACTAAGGTCCTACCCCCCCCCCCCCCCCTCCTGAACTTATTTTATAACTATTTCTACCCCTTTTCGGCCTACGTGGCTGAGTCCATGACTTCACCTATGTTAGGCGCTTTCCTTTGTTCCCTTTGGTAAAGTTAAACTTCAAAAAGGAAGATGTAATTTTGGGAAGTGTCAAAGCTACTTTTTGAACCGATAGCTTGTCTTTTTAGAAAGTTAAAAAAGTGGGGTCCAGCACATGTTGAACAATACTTTCAAGCTATCTGGTTGATAGTGTCACGTATGCCAAAAAGGGGTAGAAAATTATTTATAAAATAAGTTCGAGAGGGGGGAGATAATAGGACCTTAGTATAGTTTAGGTGTGTCTCTAGGATTTCGGGCACATGCTGGGGTACTTATGCATTTTCCCTTTATATTGGCAGGTGATATTCACGTGTTTGACGTGTGAAAATTTTACTTAAAACTTTTTCTTTTATTTTTTCTCTTTTTAATTTATTATTCTAAAAACTATTCTCAAGGTCAAAATGTTAAAATTTGTAGATGTGTGTCTTTGATCTTCATCTATTGAAACTTTTTTTTATTATAATGTTGATTGCTAATTGTTTGAAGCTAAAAACACTGGGTTAATTGAGTTTATATATAGCTGCAATTTTTTTATCTAAAGAATGTCGGAACCCCATGAAAATCGACTAGCATATATATGAATTTTGTGAATCTATAATCTTAAATTAGGAGAAACTGAGTTCGTTGATGGTTCAAAGAATTATGTATGGCTGAAAATCAAAGCTAAAGGTTGAAACTTTGAAGCACATTTTGAAATCACCATTAAAATTAGTTTATAAGCTTGAGTTCTAATTTTGACTTACCACGAGCGAGCTCCGTTTTGAATGGTAATCTGTCAAAAGAATCGAAATATTGAGAGAAGCTTATATCTAAAATTTGAGGCAATTTGGAGAAGATTTAGGGTGGTTTTGTATCAAATTTTTGTAACATTTATACAAAGAAGATGAAGAACATGAATTACATTTTTTCAGATTTGCAAGAAAATTACAAGTTGCTAAAATCAATTGAGGAGTACTATCTAAAGCTGGAATACAATTTATCCATTGAATTGATTGTCCGAAACTTAAAGAAAAATCTTTAAACCGACATTGACGAAACTAGGTTCGAACCGGAGAGAAATCAAATCCCAAAACTTGCAAGTGCATACAAGAATTTTCGTAGGTCTTTTGTGTATTGAATATAGGATCAAGAGTTTTCCTTGTATTGAAAGTTTAATCGAAGAAAAAATCAGTTGGGTGTCACTGTATTAAGCTTAAATTTGTTTTGATTTGAAGGATTTTGTGTCCATAGTTCCTGATTGTGGAGAATAGGGATAGAATTATTATTTAAGATTTGTGGTGTATTGATTAATATAATAATGACGGTGATTTCAAGATGGTGAGAGGTGGTGTAATTTGATATCTGCCATTGATGCACTACTAAGTTGCTATGGAGAAGAAAGCAAATTAGAAGTAGAAACAAATAAGTAAAAAATTTAAAATGCATATATTTATGAAAAAATATTTAAAGTAAAATTTAATATTATTTTTTTTATCTTCGCTCTTTCAAAGAGAGTGCAATACACTCACTTTGCCATGTAGGCATTTAGGGTGGTAATAATTTTAGTTTTAAATAGTTTACAAGGGTGATAGGACTCCCGTGAAGAATAAGTGTATAGTTGAGAATCCGGTCATAGCTTAAGGGGGCATTTGACCATTTTCTCTTACCTTGCAATTAATCTTTTTTAAAGTGTTCACATTTGTTTGTAAAATTCTTAAAAAGCTTTTTTATATGTGAATTAGTAAAATTATCTTCTTATTTATGATTTCTTAATATGCGTGTAAAAATGAAAATATGTATATAGAAAGTGAATTAGTAAAATTATCTTCTTATTTGTGCTTTCTGTTATATATCTCTGAGTAAGAGTAGTTAATTCTCAGAAGAGAAAATATGTATATAGAAAGTGACGAAGATTGTAACGATAGTGTAAAATCCTTGGAGGAAATGAAAAAACAATGATGAGTTTGAAAATCGTCAATTATAGTTACTTATGGATAGTAATTTTGATTTTGAAGATTTTCTACCTGCAACATCGATTTCAAAATATGCAAACTCACTTCGATATTCAAGTCGAAATAATGTTTGATTCTTATTTAATGTGAAACATGAATTTGTATACATTGATGCAAGACTCTATAATAGTCTAATGTATACGTCTTCAAATCGAATGTATACTCAATAGCTATTATGTATACACAATTGAAAGTATGTGTACAAATTTGGTTTTATGTATTAAAATATTAAAGTAAATTACTATATAATAAGAGGGAATAAGTTTTCACCACATGCCAACATGTGTTCCAATAAGAATCACTACTAATATCCAATATATTTATATGTGGGCCCCACTACCTTCCACTTAAATCCTACATATTATATATTAATTACTATACTCTAAATGACTTA